AGTCCAGTTTCCTGGATAATCTGTTCTGCATGGAGATTGAAAAGATATGGAGATAGAACACATTTTTGAGCACACCCTTCCCAATTTTGAACCATGTAGTCTTTCCTTGCTCTGTTCTGAAAACTGCCTCTTGGTCCAAGTATAGGTTTTGCATAAGCACAATCAAGTGTTTTGGGATTTCCATTGTTAGAGTCAGCCACAGTTTATTGTGATCTACACAGTCAGATGCCTTTGCATAGTCAATGAAACACAGATAGACATTCCTCTGGTACTATGTGCTTTCAGCCAAGAGTCATTTGACATTAGCTATAATATCACTAGTACCATGGTCTCTTCTAAACCCAGCCAGCAGTTCTCTTGATGTGCTGTTCCATTCAATTTTGGATAATCTTCAGCAGAATCTTGTTTGCACATGATATCAATAATATTGTTCAATAAATGTGCAAGGAGCTGGAGTCAGAAAATAGAAAGGGCTGAACTCAGCATTTCTTAAGCTGAAGGAACTGAAGAACAAATTCAAGCCTCGAGTTGCAATACTTAAAGATGCTTTGGACAGAATGTTAAATGATCCAGGAAGCATTAAAAGAAGATGGAAAGAGTACACAGAGTCATTGTACCAAAAGGAATTGGTGGACACAGAATTTCATGAAACAACATATGAGTAAGAGCCTGTGGTGATGAAGGAAGACGTTCAAGCTGCTCTGAAAGAACTGGTAAAAAAACAAGGCCCCAGGAATTGATGTCATACCAGTTCACATATCTCAACAAACAGATGCTGTCCTGGATATTCTCACCACGTTGTGCCAAGAAGTCTGGAGGACAGGCATCTGGCCAAATGATTGGAAGAGATTGATATTTGTTCCCATTCCAAAGAAAGATGATATGACAGAGTTTTATGGTAGGGAAGGCTATTTGAGATGGAGATTGGACCTAGGATTCATTAAGATCAGAGCAGCTCCAGGTGGGCCCAGAACAGCTTCTGCGCAAGAAACAAGACTGCTCTTGATGGAGCCCTCCTGACTTGGCAGAAGAAACTTTTAGAGGCGGATAAATCCACAATGGGGAGAAATGACATTTAATTAATGTGAAATACAGAGGACAGGAAGAGCAAAGGCCTTTAAGTAGAACCCAAGACATCTTATCATGTGATGAGCTGAAGGTCTTGGATTTGGGGAGCCGTTCTAGAGTCTTCCTTGAACCAACAATGACAAAGCGGGCCCTGTGTGATGAAGGAAGTACCAAGCAGGATATCCTCTCACAAATATGCCTGAAATTCTAGTGGTCAGGGCTTGGAGGGGGCAGATTCTGCACAGCTTTCCCACTGGGCCAGGCTTATCTACTTGGCTTATCTGAAGCAGGTATTACCCTCTATAGCCAGGGCCTCTTCTCAGCCATCAGTCAATATTAATGACTCTGAAGGGGTAGACATTTCTAGCGTAAGATCTGTTCACTGCTACTGAAAACCTCAAACCAAATCCATTGCTGCAGGGTCAATTCAGACTCATGGTAACAGAGCAGAACTACCCCATAGGGTTTTCAAAGCTGTATAGCTTAATAAGCCAAGTCTATATTTATCTACAACTTAACTATACTGGGGGCTGCCCGAAGAATAAACAAGTCTGTCTTGGAGATGTTTTTGTTGTTAAGTGCTGTCTAGTCAGAGGTGACTCATAGCAACCCTATGAACGAAAGTCCTGGACACCTCCTATATAACTTTCGTCCTTTCTCCGGATTCATGGGGTTTCCAGGGGCAAGCCATTTCGGAAGTGGATGCCACTCTTGCTCCCAAGCTTATTTTAATTGGGTGTTCCACCAAACATTGTCCACCATGGGTAACCATTCTCGCATTTGACACTGCAGTGTCACAGTGTTCAGCTTCACAGCAGCCATGAGTTACCTCTGTACAGCAAGTGGACATGCCAGGGTTATATGACCGAGAAGAATGTTTCACCAAAAACAAGTAAAGGCAGGCTTGAGAGCTGCAGAGTAGAGTCATCCACCTTTGGCTTGGGAGCATGACTTTCTGTCACTAGGCCAACTGATCTCTATACTATTGTTGCTGTCTTGGAGATAGCTCAGCCAAATGCAGCTTAGAAGAGCAGATGGTATCATCCACTTATATCATCTCAGGAAATATCAATATTCCTGATACATCATCAGTAAAGGCGAGGTGCCAGAAGAGGACATCATGGTTTAGTAGAGAGTCTGCGAAGGAGCGGAAACTCTTCAGTGACATGGATTAACACAGTGGCCCCTGTAATGGGTTTAGGCATGGTGGGGACTGAGGACAGTGCAGGATTGGGAGGGCTCCGTGTGTGGTACAAGGATCATGATACGTCTGAGGCAGTTCAATAGCACCTACCAGCAACTATGTCTTCTTGAAAGCCAGACTGCCACATCTTTCTCACATTGAGAGGCGGGTGAGTTTCCAAAGCACCAATTTTACAGTTAGCAGCCAATCACTTTAACAACGGTGTCATCAGCACTCCTTACCCTGGTAAAGGAGATGTGAGAGACAAAATATAGTTAAGAGAAAACAGTTGTCCACTGTTACCTCCAGGCTCCCGGTGACCTTACATACCATAAAGAAGGTGCGATCAAGGGAGACATGTGCTCCCTCCCGCAAGCATTCGGCACCGCCCTCACAGGATGGCTATCTTGGAGCCCACTGCTGCAGCCACCCTGTAAAAGCACTTGTTTTCCCTCATTTCCACGACTCTTCGTGGAACTGACGATGGCAAGTAGGCACAAATGAGTGTCACCATCTTTGCTTGTAAGCACTTTTCTGGCTTTATCCCTTCAGGGCAATGTGTTCATTCTTTCGAGAGCTCATAATATACTTAACTCAATAAACCAAACCAAACTTCCTACCATTGACACAATTCTGACTCATAGTAATCCTCCACCGTGTTTCTGAGGCTATCTCTGTGAATCTTTACGGGAGGACACTTGTTGTTGTTGTTAGGTGCTTGAGTATGACTCATACCGACCCTATGAACAAAAGAGCTGAACCCTGTCTTGGCCTGTGCCATTTTCACACTTCCTGACACACAAGAGCCCACTGTGGCAGTCACTGCATTAATCCACCTGGTTGAGGGTCTTCCTTTCCTTCGCTGACCCTCCATGCTTCCTAACATCATATCCCTCTCAAAGGAATAGACGCTCCCAGCAACATACCCAAAGTATGTGAGGTAAAGCCTCATCATCTTGGCATCCAAAGAGCATTCCAACTGCACCCTCTCCAAGACAAATGTTCATTCTCTGGGATTGCAGTGCACCTTCTTGCCACTAGGCCACCAGAATGCCCACATCTGTTCAGTCTCTTGGCCATTCATAGGATGTTCGTTGCTCTTCTCCAACACCATAGCACAAAGACGTCAATTATTTTTCTGTCATCCTTATTCATTGTAAAGCTCTCAGATGTATAGCAGGTGATTGGAAATTACTCATCTTTTTCCTCAGAGCAGCTAGTGTAATCAAACCACTGATCTTTTGGTTAGTAGCACAACACATAACGCATCATGACACCAGACATCCCTAGTTAAATAGACAAACACAGTCAAAGGACTTTTTAGTCATTTGGGGTCAAGCGAACTCCAGAAGGCACTTCAAAAGTTATTAAAGAAGAAAAGTTCTTAAAGAGAAACTGGAGTCAGTCTTGTTCTAGCAGTTAAAATTGTGCTGATTAGTCCAGTAGTTAGAGAAAAACACCAGCCACATAAGTAAGGTAAAGGCTTAAACATAAATGTCTGTAATTTCCCTTTGTAATGACGTCTCCCTACTCCTCCCTCCTCTCAGGAGAGGAGAGGACCCATTTCTACCAGCTTGTTCCTCTTCGGAAAGAAATCTATCAGCCTTCCCAAGGTCTCCAAGGCATAGTTTCCAAGTAACAGTGAGAGGTTGATTATCTCAGTGTTATCTCGGGTTGGTGCTCTTCCAACTTAAGGGTTACATGACCTGTCTTCTGGGCTGGTCACCAGCATTAACTAGCTAATCTTACTGAGCCCTAGGAGCTGAGGTCCAGGTGCTGGGTGGCCTGAGTGATGTTAATGCTGTGCAACCCTTACCTTCTAGAACTTCCATAACTTGAGGGGGAACGCGTGCGCCCTCTCCTTTCACTTTGTGGGATTTACTTTTGCAGAGCCTGAGGGGTGGGATGTGGAGAAAGCTTCACTCAGGCCAGAAAGACAAGAGCATGGCCCCACACTTTGTTGACTCCCAAGACAACTCCGAGCCAATTCCTGGCGAGGGCAGAGGGAGGCGGCTCCAGTGCTGTAATTTACGATGCGGGGGCGGAGGCGGGTCAATAAGCTTGGAGGACGCGATGCCTTCAGGTGGGAAGCCTAGGGCTCAAACTAGGTGCTTTGGCATCTTTTTCTCTCTGTCCCCGCCTCTAGGGCCACGCCTCAAGGCCACGCCCCCAGCCGTGAGTCTCCCCGAGGCCCCGCCCCAAACACGCATGCCCCGCCCCATCCCATTGCTC